ACCTTGTAGATGCCCAAGGGAAGGGTCAAAGACATCATAAGTCATGAATCACTACATGCTTGCAAGAGATCTAAGTCCAACCCACCTTGAATGCCTTCTGTCTCCCACTCATTTCCCTTGATTGTTACTTGGTCAGACTCTTGTAGAGAACTTAAGATTGTAATAAATTGTTAAACTCGTTTGAACTGCCTGAATCTCCTGATTTCCCAATTACTTGACAGATCTGGACATATCAGGTAACTCTGTTTTGGGTCCTGAATATCACACTGGAGGTGATTGATTAATTAGAACCATAGTGACACAGTAGATAGAATGCCATATTGCAGGCTAATTCTGCTGACTGCCAGCAGTTCAGCAGTTCAATTCTCACCAGTTCAAGGTTGACTCAGCCGTTCATCCTTCTGAGGTCACTAAAATGAGGACCCAGGTTATTGGGGGTAATATGCTGACTCTGTAAACTGCTTTAGAAAGGGCTGTAAAGCACTGTGAAGTGGTATATAAGTCTAAATGCTGTTGCTAATTAAGAGCCAATCCTCTCTTCTGACCCCATCCTTTCCCATCTTGGAACTATGATTTTATTTTCATATTATTATGTTAGGAATATTTATCTCTGATGATTTTAATGTTTTTATGCTTTAAGCCTCCCAGAATTGCTTCAAAACAAGATGGGAGGCAAATAAATGCAATAAATAAATTTTAATAATTAAAAAATAAGTATACAAAATAAATAAAACAATTTTTTTTAAAAAACTCTTTCTGATGGGCACGTGTGTCAAAATTGTTTTTAATGTGAAATTTTTACAAATGCAAGTGACCTGTACAATAAGCCACAGGCTATATAAACCATAGATTGAAAAATAGTTGTCTTCAATAATAGGAAAGTTTTTTTCATCTTCAAATGTCAGTGTAGTGTTTGCAGGTCACACCTACTGACTTTTGACTTTTGAAATGCTAGATTCTGCGTAGAGTGTTAGCCCACATTATAATGTGGGACAAATGTACACTATATTGCCAAAGTCTATATAATCTCTTTTGGCTTTAAACTTCTCAATTTCTGTAAACTTAAAAGCTTCCTGCCCATGAAACAAGCGAAGTCTTTTACATAGAAATGATCTATGTACGTGTTCAAAAACATTGCTTTTTGAAAGCAGTGTTTCTTTCAAGGCTTGTTTGTTCTGTCCAAAGTTCTAAGTAGAAGCAGAAATGTTTACATAATTGTCCTGTCAGATGGAATTTTTTACTATGCACCATCCTACACTTCTACCACAGTCTGTTTAACATGGACCAGAATCAAGACTGGAGAGACAAGGAATAATGCTCAATAAGCAGCTTTATGATGAATGAAACAAGTCATTCAATTAAAGAAGGAGACCCTGAAGTAGGAGTAGCCACTCAGCAAGCCTTTTCAACCAAAGAATAAGAAACACTGAGAGTGGGAGTGTTCTACCAATTCCCCTCTAGTATATATTTTTCTATAGCTTGATATTAGTATACAGAACAGTTGTAGCCGTTTCCAGCCAAATATTACCCTCTTAAGAAAGAATGAACACAACTTGTTTGATCTCTGTTTTTCAATGCCAGATGTTACATTTCTGCCACGAGCCAAAGATTTTCAGACCTCCATAATGCAATAAACCAGGATGCAGCTATTGACTGAGATATTAAGTTCTGTATAGCTAGTATAATGATGCAGAACCACCAGAGTAGCAGCATATGATAAATATACTGTGTTACAACCCAAGGTTAAATAAGTCAATCCATTCTGCAATTTTCAGTAAGGTTTCCCAAAATATTAATAGCATTGTTTTTCAAATCCTTAATTCACTATAGAAAATTTGAACTATAGTGCACCCAACTATCATGGCCGAACAACGGGGATTATAAAGTTGGGAAAATATGAAAGGTGGCTTATCTGTGATCTACAATCTACAGATACTGAAAGTGTTGAATATGGATGGCAATTTAAAGAGTGGTGTTCATTCTTCCATTTTCCTAATTATATAACTATAATAAGGCAAGTAGCAAGAATAGCATGGTATGATAGAAAGGCTACTTAGCACTGAAGGAAATAAAAATCTTTGGTACATTTGAAAGCTTATGAAAATATGTGTATTGACATACATACATACATACATACATACATACATACATACATACATACATACACACACACACACACACACAACTGTCCTGGCATTACTCTGCCATACATACTAAAATTACTAAACAATTAACATTCATATTATTTATACAATACTGGTTTTGTTATACTTGTTTTGCCCATCTTTCTCAATTAAATCCTCTGTCATATCACATTCTAGATCTATTCATCCTAATTAATTTTTGTTCTGACCTCCCCTCTCTTTTGCAACTATTGATATAACTTGTTCCAGGTATTATAGTATTCTGTTTCCCCCTTGTTTTTCAGTTCTAAAGTTAATCTATCTAGCTCTGCACAAGCCAATATTTTCCTTATTATCTCTCTTTCTGATGGTGTGTTATCATTCTTCCATTGCTGTACATAACCATTCTCGCCACTGTCAGTATATGCAGTCAGGTAGGATTCAAATTTTGTAACAACCGGTTCTGTGGACGTGGCTAAGTGGGTGTAGCCATGTGACTGGGTGGGCGTGGCTTCTTTTTTTTTCGCAGCACCGCCCTTCCTGTTTTTTGGGCCTTCTGGGCCTCAGGGAAGCCTCCTGAAGGGTGTTTTTTGCTCTCGGAAGGCTTGCCTGGGGCCCAGGAAAGAAAAAAATGGAGCATGGGGGGGCACACAGCACCCCCCTGCACTCAATTTTTGGCCCTTCTGGGCCTCAGGGAAGCCTCCTGGACGAAGCAGTAAGTAAGCGAGGAGAATCCCTGCACAGCTGATCATAGGGACAGCTGATTGTCGGGAGGGGGGGAAAAGAAATACCTTAAGAAGTGACTGGGCAAGGAAAAACATAGTGATGTCGGGCATGCGTGCAATGTTGGGTATGTGTGATAAGGACTGACTGGGTGGGGAGGGGAGGGGCCAGCCAGGGACACGATTTGCCGGTTCTCCACACTGCACAGAATCATAACCGGTTCTATAGAACCGGTCGGAATTGGTAGAATCCCACCCCTGTATGGAGTATTAAATATGTTGAGCCTTCTCTTATTATTCCTAATAGGAATAATTATGGCTAAAATTATATATGTTCTCCCACAACGCGTATTGACTTCTGTCCATCTTCAGAAAGTACCACCAAACATACTGTCAGTATATTCATGAACTGGAATAGAGCTTGGTAACAAGGTCAGCCAATGAATAGGCATAGCAACTAAATCAGCCAATGAGAACAGTTTGGAAACTGAAACTAGAAGTAGCCTAGGCTGGAAACTGAAACTAAAAGTAGCCTAGGCCTGGTTCTTTGTTAAACTCTGCAACTCTGCAGCTATGTTGAAGCTCTGAGTCTGTCTATTGAAGATGAAACTAGCTTGCTTGCGTCCTTGCTTGCTGAAGACTGGAACTCTGCTCTGAACTTGCGTCATGTTTCTGTTTGAGTTTGCTCCATGTTGGAGAAATCTACAACTGGTTTGTAAAATCTACATATGTTTATAAAGATGTTCAATGAAGCATCAGCTATCTGTGTTCATTTTTCTAGTGCTGAATTATCGCTGCAAAACTATCAATACATAATTGTATAAAGATGAAATTAAATGTGTAATTTAAGCTTAATACAGTCGACAGTTTTAGGGACTTTAAAACTTTAAAGTACAGATTTGATCCTGAAAAAGAGTGAGAGGTGAGAACTTTAAAGAACTAAAGGCCATGTATGGTGGAAGCAAATATAGTTGCAAAGACAGAAAGATTTGGAAAGAGATAATGAATGTCTTGCTGAAGGTTACTTTTAGGTATGTTTCTTATCACCTTCATTATTTTCACTTACTATTACATACTTTTTTTCTGTGCCTTTATAATGTGCTTATCCCAAAATGGAATATTATATGTGTATGGATGTACATATATGTATGTATGTAACATTTTAAATCAAATGTATTTCAGACCAGATGCCTTTACAAAATACTGGTACTGTATGCTAACTGAATAAGCACATCTGAGCTATTCTTCTGATATGATGAGACCTTTGTCCAAATAAATAATTGTGCACTATTAGCACATGGAGATATGCTTTAAATAACTAATAGATATGGGATTCAGTGCATTCTACTGAGATAAATACAAGTAATAAGTAAATTCTTGTCTACCACTTATTCTTATCCAATAAATGCTTACTTTCCCTAAAAACCATGTTACCAAGTCTCATAGAAACATGGCCCATATCAATTATCAAAGGAAGGTAGCGGAGATTTGCTACTGAATCTATGTTGTGAGCCTTCTAATTAAAATTGGAATGTTTTTATAACGCATGTGTGTGGTGGGGTTCTGTATGTGGAACATCCCAGTTTCTTCTGGAATGTTCCTTTTCTGTTCAAGTCAGAATCAACATAAGGAATTCTACCAAAAGAGAAAAACATAAGAACTTTTGTGTATGCCTGTAAAAGGATTCTTGGAAACTGACTTTATTAGCTGGTTAACAGATGTTGTTTAGCTACAAAACATCTATGATTACCCTCCTTTTTTTAAATGAAACTTTTTGTACAAAAGGAGTTCCTGTTTTAAAATTTACAGTATATAACATGAAAAAGTTCTAAGTACACAGAAGCCTGTGTGAAGTTCCATCCTGAGAATGTATTAATGCTTTCAGTTAACTTCCAGAAAGCCTGCCTGTAAATTCTATTAAATCTCACATCAGCCCCCTCCACATTCTTCTAATTCCGGTTTAGCCAAGCTTGGTAGCTCTTTCCTTTTCAGGTTTGTAAAAATGTGTGCAATCTCTTCTTCCATTACTTAACTATTAATAATTGGAGGAAACTGACCAACTTAAATGGAGTAGGGAGTGCGTTAGCAGTTGCCACAGAAACTGCAATCCAATATAAATATCTTACTCCTCATCTATCTATCAACTCTTTTTCAGGGCAGTTTAAGTTGCTGGAACAAGACCGTGATATTAAAGAGCCAGTGCAGTATTTTAACAGTGTGGAGGAGGTGGCTAAAGCATTTCCTGAACGAGTTTACGTCATGGAGGAAATAACATTCAACGTTAAGGTAGCCCCTAAACAAATGTTTATCCCAGTTAAATGGTTTATGGTTAAGCCATTTTTTTAACATTGCAATTGAGAAATATATTGTGCAAAAAGTAATTTGGGATTGTTGTTTTCTCTTAATCTGTTTGGGTACATTTTGCATAATCTGAATTTGAGGGTTCTTAATCTTACAAGATATGAAGACCTTTTCAAGGAGAGAATTATCTCCAATCAACAACGTTCTTTTTCAGTGTTCAGCTAGAATATTGCTTCCAAATTTTAGACAGAGCTTCTTCTGTTGTAGAAAACTCTCCCTCACCTCTGAGCCCTTAGATTTTATTTGGTAAAGGAGCAGCTGTTTCACTCACTCTACACCATGTCTTAGGTCACATAAAGACAGTATATATTGTAATGGTTAGTAGAAAACAAATAATGGTTAGTAATATCTACTTTTCAACTCAGATGACTGAGAATAATAAAATATTTCTAGAAAAGCAAAATAATAATGCATTGATTTTAAGTCTACAGGAATTCAAAGAAAAAATAAAATGATTATATAAAGAAACAAAAAAACTCCTTTATGTTTAAGTGCAAAAATCAAATAATGTTCGCTTGATTAATCTGTGATTCATGTTTGTCTTGTTGTGGATCTTCTTGGAGTTGACTGTCAAATCCACTCACAGACAAATTGTTTTACATTCCTAGGTGTAGTCCAGCAATACCTGGAGAGTCACAGTCTTTTCATACTTGCTTTTCTATTAATGTCCAAATCAAAAGACAGTAGGAATTATGGACTTAAATAATATTACAGCATCGTTTGAGTTAATAATAAAATCCATTGTGCTTCCTTTTATTGAAAGGAAGAGAGTACAAGTTATACAATGGCAATGTTGCCAAAAGGGCCTAAGAAGATCACTTCAGGATTCTAATCTAGAAGATAATTCTTCAACAGGTTTCTGCTCCAGTTAAAGCAAATGCAAGCTCATATAATAGTTAACTTAAACTTTCAAGTCCCTAGAGGCAAATACCTTCAATTAACCAAACCATCATTTTATTGCCACAAACTTCCAAAACAGCAAAGGACCGCAATCTTAGTTCATTATTAAACTCTTTTACTAAGCATATTTAGAAGCTGTCCAATGTGGCAAGAAGAGTATTATTTGGGGGGCAAGAGTTTTGTGTGGATCATATACAGCAAGAATTGCTGTTTGCTTTTGATTATGTGATCTGCCTCTTTTTTAGGAAAATTCTGATCACTTATTTTCATCAAAATTAAAAGTAGATAATTTTAATTGATAAGAAATCTGATTGCTGTTACTATTCATTATGAATTATAATGTTTTGCCTTTGGGTCTGAATTTTGAACAACAAACATGTTCAATTAGATTTTTATTGTTTCCTGGATTAGCTGTATTGAGATATCACACCACTGGAATAACTTCCTCTCAGGAAATTCTGCAACTGTGGTATTAGCTTGATAAGCAGTACATAACAAAGAGTTCAGTTTGAAACATTATTTCCTTTCCAATGTTCACATTACTGTGGATCCTTTGCTAAACATATTACTGATTATTTTTTTGTGATTTCATATTTTTATACAAAAAAAGTAAATAAATTAAGGTAGCAATGTTAAACCATTTATCTGGCATAAGATCCCAGTGGATCTTTCTTCTGAATAATATTTTGTCTAATAGGTCATTATATAGGTCAGTTTTAATTCTACCCTCCAGTGCTGGAAAACTTTGAATAGGGTTTGCATCTTACATGGTATCTGTCAAGGCTCTCCATTTAAATGGGGCAGAGTATCTTCCCCTGAATGTGACTGTGGTGCTCCCCAGCAGACACCTAATCTTTTATTGTGAGTAGCTGCCATCTGAGAGCTTATATAGGAGGACAAGTAGACCTCTTGCAAGTAACAAATACCAAACTTAATTAGAAAAATGGCCTAGACATTAATATATAAAACACTAATCTTATGAACCAATGGGTTTTAAAATGTAATTTGTAATTTAATATATAACTTCTTGAATTTCTTATACCTTACAAAATTGACCACACACCTCCATCTTATTTGTATCACACTATTGTGTTCTTTTGTTCAACTTTACTGCTGCAATCCATGTCTTTCATGCCATATACTACATACATACACACACAAACACACACATACATACTGTACATACATAAATTTAGATCCAGTGAATGTTAAAATCCAGAAATTATTTTTCAAAAGACAAGGGATATAGGATTCTGCTTTCTGTGTCCTAAAATCATAATCAAAAGGCTGTAGACTTTCTTAGATTCTGTCAAAAGAATTGCCATTACATATGGTGTAAATGTGAAATAATGAAGTGCCCAGGCATGCCTGTTAGATTTGCTCCACTTTTGCATTTCCTTTGTGCAATTTACAGTGTGATTGGAAGAGGTTGTTCTTTCTCAGGCTGACACTTAGATTGGAATCCTAGGTTATATATAACTCAGTTACAGAAATGTATATGTAGTAAAATATCTGTCTGTTTTTAAAAGCTGGTACATGTATCTGCAGAATTATGGCATGTCCTTATTTCACATATTAAATTTTAGCATTTGCTAACTTTTTTTATTAACACTGCAGATCAGAAAGAAAAATCTTAACTTTTATTCTTAGTTGCAAATATGAACTGTGATGATATAGATTTACAATCTAATTTGAGTACTAGGCATTATTTACTTTTGATCACGTAAGATTCATACTTCACAGAGTTTGCCAGCAATTATCTCTGGATGATCAGCCACACAGTACTGTTTGGCCAACATTTTTATCACTCTAGGTGTGCTCTGTTTTCTAAGCTGGGAAGTAAAAATATAGAAATCTATAATCATTGATGGGATTTGTAGAATATATTAGTATTTAATTTCGAGAAAGAGAGATTTCTTTATGTCAAGACTTAGATATATGTTGCTTGCCAGATGCTATAGTCCACAATATCTGCAATCTAAATTCACTAGCCTGCCTGACTGGGGGTATTGATAACTGAAAGTTCAAATTTCTAGATATCCACATTCATGCTTTCTTTTATTTTTAAATACAGAAGAGAGAGTGAAAGGGGGGAAGGAATAAGTATACTGCCACAAATTACAGATAGTCAAATATAGCATTAAACTAGAGTAGAATAGCCAAGTATCTATAATCATTTCAGTGCTCGTGAGCAAGCCTAATTGTATAAGGTTGTAGGTTCCTACATAATTTAATTTAAAAATTTGATGTTCCTAAGCTTTGTGACATAGAGAGATTACTTATTTTTGTCTGATAAATTCTTAATATTGTATTACTCTTGATATTTCTTTAACAAAAGAAGGTAAGGTGATCAGTCACGTGGACTTTTTAGAGCAGTCTTTCTCACTTTGTAACATTCACACTGAATGTATGGATGTTATAGTCTTAACATATAGAATACCAGGCAGAAGAAGTTATACAATTCAGATTTGTTGGATTTATCCAGTGGTGTATTAACCGTTAAGCAAATTAAGCACGTGCTTAGGGCACCAGGTCCAAAGGAGACATCACAAAGTTGAGAATATGGCTTTGTTTGTACAGTACGTACAAAGGAGGCGGGGCACCAAGATTTGTCAGTGCTTAGGGCACCAGTGAGCCTTAATCCACCACTGAGTTCATCGCCTAAGTTTAGAGCTTGATATGCTATTTTAACTTTGAATGTTGTATTTTCTAGGTGGCTTCAGGCGAATGCAATGAAGACACAGAAGTTTATAATATTACCCTTTGCACAGGAGATGAGCTCACATTAATGGGACAAGCAGAAATCCTATATGCAAAATCTTCAAAGGAAAAGTCACGGCTCAATACCATCTTCAAGAAAATTGGAAAACTCAATTCCATTAGCAAATTGGGCAAAGGCAAAATGCCTTGCTTGATTTGCATGAACCATCGGACCAATGAGAGTATTAGTCTGCCTTTCCAGTGTAAAGGGAGATTTAGCACACGTAGTCCCTTAGAGCTACAAATGCAAGAAGGCGAGCATACCATTCGAAACATTGTGGAAAAGACACGGCTCCCAGTGAATGTGAATGTGCCAAGCCCTCCCCCACGGAATCCTTATGACTTGCATTTTGTCCGTGAGGGACACCGTTACAAGTTTGTTAATATTCAAACCAAGACTGTTGTGGTTTGCTGCGCACTATATAATAATAAAATTGTTCCAATGCACTTTCCTTTGCATTTAGCTCTTCCAAAGTTTACCCTTCCAGAAAATCTTGTGAAAGGAGAAGCGTGGCATGAAGCTTTTGTGAAGCACTGGTTCAGCGTCTGCCAAGAGCAGTTCGATATTGATGAATATTCTCGTGCTGTGAGAGATGTAAAAGCTGACTGGAATGAAGACTGCAAAAGCCCACAAAAAAGTCGACCCACCAGCCACAACCATGTGCCAAACTCTCTCAGTTATGCTCGGGATGAGTTGACCCAGTCTTTCCACCGTCTCTCTGTGTGTGTCTATGGAAACAACCTCCATGGAAATAGTGAGGTGAATCTTCATGATTGCAGAGACTTGTGTAATGAGTGGGCTTTATCTTCTCATGATGCTTTGCAAGATTCTAGGGATGGGAGCTGTAACTACCTTTTTCCTGAAATTAGTGAAGAAACAGTCTGTTTACCTCCTAAACTGGAACTTCCATATGAAGAATTATGGTTGGATAAAGAGGGTGGGAAAGTGAATGATCAGCCTCTTACTCGCTCACAGAGCGAAAAGAACAACTACAGGAGTTCTTTCCGGTCCACAGGTGGTACAGCTTCGCTGCCAGAACCTGGCTCTTCAGTAGCAACAGCAAAATCCTCAGAAGTTTCCCTACCTCCACCACCTGTGCCTCCTAAGTCAGAAGCGGTAAGTTCCTAGTGTTCTGCTTAATTCCCAAGATGGGTGAAATTCCTATCATACATATGGAACACACATTTTTCATAAGGGGATGAAGTAATCTGGATAGGATTGGGCCCAGTTGGCCTCTCTTAACCCGTCAATCTTGTCATTCCCCATGGTTTATGGAGGAACTGAGAGAGATGAAGCGGATCAAGAGAAGCTGGCGGAAGACAAATGAACTCAACCAAACATGGGTAAGAGTTGCTATTCGAGGCTACTTTGTGGTGATTTGTGCAGTGAAGTGGAAATACTTCTCAGCACAAATTGTATCTGCATATCATTGTCTGGTGGCCCTCAGAATATGATTTCTGAAAAAGAATATAAGTTTTAGGTAGATCCACAGGGCTTAATGCATATTTATAATACTATGTTTTAGTATATTTAGGACTTAAACAATAACACTGGGATTTTAAATTGTCTCCTAGGAACAAGGTTGGAGGCAATGCAGGTGTCAAAACCTCAGTGTGATATGTCGAACTGCTCAATTTTAATTAATAATCTAATCATTATTCTGTGGGTCAATTGTAGCTTTAGAACTGTTTTAAAGATAGCTCTATGTACAGCAGTTGTCTAAACTGGATTTCATCTGAGCAAGACTGTTTCATCATCCAGGAAGTTTCTATTCTACATTTAGGCCTGAAACCCATCTGAAATGTATCTAGATGTTTCATTTTTCCAGCTGAAGGATCTAAATCAATTACTGTATGCTTTTAAATACTTTCTGAATTACTTCCTTTTCTTATGAGAGAAAACCTTGAAATGTCTTTGAAAGTAAAAAAATCACAATTTATTTTAAAGAGGGAAGAGCAGGTTCTATTTTGTTGAAATCTTTCCCTAAAGAGTTGTAAATAGTTTGTTCATTTGAGCAACATGTTAGTGATAATTGCATTTGTACTAGCTTTTTTAACCAGTCATCTTTCAGCAGCTACCATCTGCCCTCTGCTGGTAATACATAAGTAACATGTAAAGTCCTCATTTAAAGGCAATTCTGGATCTGCTTAAAAAAAGAAAAGAAAGACAAAATCTTTTACATTTTCAATACAAATGTCAGCATTTGGGTAATTTGGATTTATTGGGGATGCAAATTACAGTCCATCAAAATCTGGATCGGCAATTTATTAACATCTGGCATCATAGATTCAAAAAACAAGCTAATTAAAGAAGTGCATACAGGAACATTCAATTGTGTCTTGCAAAAGAAGAACTGGTTCTTGAATATCAGAATCAACAGCTGAGGGCTGCTGCTGCTGCTGCCATTTCCTATCTGCCTGGTGGAAGGGTTGGCCTTGAAGGATTTTTTTCTTCTTTGTTCCTTAACCTGATATTCAGATTAGTTTCCCCAATTTGGGAGTTACATAGTGGAAGCGGTTGACCTCCCCCCATCACCATATGTCCATGATTTTATCTGTTGATGTTTTTAATCTGTGTTTTTTTACAATGGATGATTTTCATGTTTTTTGTTGTTTGTATATTGTAAACCGCCCAGAGTCGTTGGATATGAAATGACCTGCCAATAAATTTTATAAATAAATAAATGTGGTGTCTAAGGTGCAAGTTCTTCTATTCCATTTTTGCTTTAGACACTCTAAGGCTTCTTAGAGGAATAATTATTTCTTTATCCTTGTTTCATTCCTATTAATATTATTAGTTTTCAGGATAATTAATTCCCTGCATGATGTGCTACATTACAATTGTGTATGATTTCAGGTCAGAGAGGAATGTAGACTCCTGAATGCTCCTCCTGTCCCACCACGCAACTCAAAGCCAACGTCTACTAGCCCTTCTGTTCCTCCACGGATGAGCAAACCTGTGCGACAGCAAACTCGTTCTCCTAGTCCAACACTTTCATATTATTCATCAGGACTGCACAATATGTAAGTACTGAGTGTTTTCTTTTCAAAGTCAGTCTTATTTTTATGCTAACGGTGTACTGTTCAAGTGCTGGGCTGAGAAAGCACAGGTGTAAATCCCACTTGATGTTGGAGCTCATTATCTCTCAGCCTAAGCTACTGTAGTTCATAGGAGTGTTGCTGTGAAGAGAAGTAAACAGAGTTTTCCCCCTGCACATTCAGAAGTAGAAGAAAAATGGGGTAATGAACAATTAATAGAAAATGGATGGTTGCAATAACTGAAGAATAAATAATCAGAGAGTTGGACAGGACCATTAGACCACTGAATCCAGTTTTTTTGTTCATATCCTCCCAAAACTATTTGTTAACAGAGTCATGCAAAATGTATAGGCTAAATATAAATAGATAAAAACAATTGTTGCAATTATATATCCTGGCACCTTACATTATCAATAGATTATATTTCATATTTTATCCTAAAGATAAAAATAATGTTGGAGTACTATTGCCAATTTTTACTAGTAGCAGCCAGAAGATGGGAATCTATTTCTAGATCTTTGGATGGATTGTAATAAGGCAGCAAGATCAACAATCAAAACACCAAAGATGATTTTTTTTGTAACGATGACACCTAAGCAATGAGGAGCCAGACATCGGTGCTTGTGTAACAGATGAACAAGTTTCGCCGGGTGAAACCTGTTCAACTTGTTTTGATTCATTAAAGAAAGACCTTATTAAATAAAGGACAAATTTGAGATTTGAACTGATTAGTTCACATATGAGTGGGTATCTCATGGTTGTAAATCTCAAGAAAAAATGCAAGAGCATAGTGATGGTAATCTTATATTTTGTAAATACCATTCTTGGTATTGACACTGATAAGAATCACAGCTAGCAGCATTGAGAAAAGACTTCTGATTAAGGTCTTGGAGAGCTACCTCTACTCAGAACAAACAAGATTGAGTTGCATTGTAAGTTAAAATCCTTTTTCCACTAGAGCTATGTAATAATCCTTGAAATAGAACTGTAATAGATTCATCATTATGGTCATATGTCATAACAAACCCTAAAACGGATCAGACACATGATCAACCTGATTTTTATGAACTTTTTTTGGCTATAGTCTACCCTTTTTCGCTATAGTCTACCCCAAACTAAAATCTCCCAAATGTTTTGGACTACAAGCCACATACTGGTAGTCCTTGGGTAATGATGGTAGCTAGTTTCAGAACACTGTAAGCAATACGATTGTAAAGCATGTGACTATGCTGACTTATAATGGCAGTTTCAACAGTTGCAGTTGTGTCTGTTAAGTGAGCCCCAAGTGATCGTTGAGTGTGATATTATGTGATTGCCATTTATGACCTCCAGCTACCTTCCACATTGCCTTTGCTTATCAGAAACCAGTAGTGACAGTTGCAAATGGTGATCATGACAGGATGCTCTAACTCTCATAATTACAAGGTGGTTGCCAAGTGACCAAATGGTGATCATGTGGCTACAGAAATGTTGCAATTGGCTGCAACGTCGAGGATTGATTGTAAGTCTCATTGTAACTTTTAACAGTTGTTGAACAAACTATTTCTAACCATGGACTACCTATATTGTTCAGATTGTCTTTCTAAACGCTGAATGGGAATTAAGGAGATTGTAGGGCAGCACTTTTGTGATGGGAAAGGCTACTTTAGATCCTTTTATCTATTATGTTAAAGGTTGGAGATTTTGAAAAATACTCCTTATAAAATAATTAGATTCTGGTTTTCATTACTGAAGTTCAAAAAATGTAGCTGATTGCCCTATTTTCCCCTGTAAAGAGATGATAATATCAAATCTTTTTTCTTATTTATTTTATTGTTCTATTATTTTGCTTTTGCTTTGTTTAAATTTACTTCTTATTTCTTTATTTTTTTAATTGTTGTAAGCCATCTAAAGTATCCCCATGGCAAATTATCATTATTATTATTATTATTATTTTCATAAAATATCATGACCTAGCCATTGAAACTACCGATTAAGGATGAAACATGTAACAGTGATACCCACTGTAATTGGGGCTTTTGGTACCATGTCCAAGAATTTTACAAAATGCATCAAGAAATTGCAGCTTCCTGCTATAACACTAGCGGAACTGCAAATGACTGCGCTACTCGGAACAACATCCATTGCAGAAGGCAGCTTTACTTGGAACAGCTTCTATTCTGCGATGATATCTGTAAGATCATCAAATATCCAAATCTGCCTGTCCCTGGTCCTTGGTAAGGACTTGATAGGTACACAAAAATGCCAAACCCAGTCTGAACATCTGGCTGACTGTGCAATGATTAATAATGATAATAGTGGTAGTAGTAGTAGTAATAGTAATAATAATGCCTTGGGAAGGACTTGATAAGCAGACATAAATGCCAAATCTAGTCTGAACAGCTGCTGATTGTGCAAAGAGCCATAATCATAACAGCTTTATTGTCTTGTGGAACTGTAATGAACGCTATCTATTTAAGTACAGACTTTCACTTACACAGAAATAGATGTCATTATAACCCCAGATAGTATAGTTACTAGATTGCAAAAAAACCTATGCAATCTAGTGGACTTGAGTATGGATGGTGATTACACCTTCTTTCTGTAAAATGGATTGCATATTTGACATAAATGATTACGCCTTCTTTCTGTAAAATGGATTGCATATTTGACATAAATATTTGCCCATTATATGCAACTTAATATAATAAAAGGAAAATATTTGCCAGGAAAGTTGCCGACTTCGCTGGGAAAAGTTGTTAAATTTCTCCTGTCTGAAAAAAATGTCTATATAATGGAAGCAATAGATACTATTTTCCATTAGTCCGGTGCTCTTTTATATATAAAATTACTGAATTCTAAAGTGACTACTACTAATTATAAAAACTATATACTAATTCTGTCTCTCTTTTTTTAATTATCTCAAAGCAGTGCCACAGAAGAAGTTGCTGAAAACTCTTCCGAGATTATTCCCGTTACTCGTTATCCATGTGGTATGGTAAAAAGTGACCTGCAAGAGCTTGACAACAAATTGCCTTTGGGAAGCCCTTCTGCTGATGCTTTGTTCTCTAGACTCTCATGGCCAAATCATTTTTCTGGAGCTGCTGAAGGCCTTTCTAGGAATGAGTTTCTGTTGGATCCAAGCAGAAGTTATAGCTATCCAAGGCAGAAGACTCCCAACACACCAAAGAGAAGCTGTCCAGCACCTTTTACATTCGATTTTGACAGAAATGAAGTCTCTGCAGGAGATGAACCACCAGCTACAACTGAGGTAGAATGCACCATGCCCAGTTGCCCAAAGTCAGCAAGTTACTCACTTGAATATACTGATGAAAAAAGTTTGGCAGTAAGTGACACGTTGCAGTCAATTTCTTGCCCTGCCTTACCCCCTCGTGCACCAAAGATGGTGGAGGAGAAGCAGCCAGGGCTTGACTTGTGTCTTGGGTCTCTCAGAATAGATGGTGCTGAGGAAGATCCTCACAGGAGCTCTCCAGACCTTTCTGAAGACCAATGTCTGGGTAAAAAAAGCATGCAAGACCTCTTCTCGGTTTCTTATTCTTTCTCATCACCTCTTCATCTTCAGCTAGCACCAAGATCTTGTGGTGACGGTTCACCATGGCAGCCACCTGTAGATCTGTCTGGACTTTCCATTGAGGAAGTATCTAAGTCTCTACGATTTATAGGCTTGTCAGAGGATGTCATAACACTTTTTGTAACTGAAAAAATTGATGGCAACTTGCTTGTCCAGCTCAATGAAGAGATCCTTTCTGAGGACTTTAAACTGAGCAAACTACAAGTTAAAAAAATATTGCAATTTATTAATGGCTGGAGACCTAAAATGTAGTGCTGACCAGTTCAATAAAATGTAGAGTATGCTACAAACCCTGAAACTAACTCACAATCTACCATTTTTAATTTTTTTATTGCACTAAGTCCTTCCTTCCTTCCTTCCTTCCTTCCTTCCTTCTGTAAATAGTAGGAGAAAAACAGTTATTACTATGCAGATTATTTTGGGCGTTAAGCAAACACTTTTGTACATAATAGAAGGATAAAGGTGTGCCTTTTGCATCCCTGAACATTCAACAGCTGCTAAATAGTGGACATTAAAGGGAATTAATTTGTTCTCATGTAGTCTAGTGAGACATATTTATTACTATGGATTAGCAAAACTGGTGCACAAATCAGTTTATTATTATTATTGCATTTCCCTGTAATCTTTTTTTCTTCTTGAGTTCTTATTTTTATTCTAATAACAATAGTCATTGCCTTCTGTTTTTATTTGTTTAACAGAAAGTGTCAAATATTCCACCTTTGCACCTTGTTCTTGCTGTAGGTTCATTTTTATAAAATTCGCAGGTAGTAATAAATAATGGATCCATATTTCAGTGCAAAAGAAAAAAATCCACCACAGTCTGGGCAGATAGATTCTTGCACCTAGCAGTTTTTTTTTACGTAGCATACTATTAATAAAAAGAAAGAAAGAGGTAAAGGTTTTTGATGTCTAGTAGGGGCATGAGATTTAAAATATACTATTTTAATAATTTGAAAAGTAATAACGCAATGTCAACCAACAGCAGCAAATAATTGCATTAAAAAAAAATTCAACCATTTTGCAAACTATTGAAATGTTTACATGTATTCTGAGCAAATATTGATGCCCTAGTTTAATTTGGAATAATTGATAAAGATCATTATTTCCATTGTTTATGTATAAAGTGCATTTAAAATTAGAGTGGATTTAGAATTCAACTGTAACTTCAGTTAAAGAAGTAAGAAACTGGTAGAGTGATTCAATGATTTCTTCTATTCTTTTTTCCTTAATATTCTTAAAAATGCATACAGTTAAGGAAGAAAAAAAGCTGACTTATTAATCTAAATTAAAAGAATCCACATTCCAAAAACTAAACCTGTCTAATCAAAATGAAATGGAATAATTTTCTTAAAGCATTTTTTTGCTTAAGGGAATAATAAATATTTTATTAAATGATGTATGTATATTATAAATATCTTGTATATCTGACATGCATTTGTTTAAATGGCAGTGGGGGTTAATCCATTTACCCCTTAGTCTGTTTTGACTGTAACAGACTTTAAAATGGACAAACATTGAGCTTTTGGGATTCATTTTAGAGAAATCCTGAGTGTTGCTAGAGGACTTACACTAAATATATTATAATATTGTGCTTCTGAGCACTTGTTTAGTCCACCTTTTTTTCCTCCAAGTATTTGTTCTCAGGAACCTATTTTGGTAGAAAGCAGAGGAAGTTATTAAGCAATTGGAAACCAGAAACCTTTGCCAGTTTTACCAAATGGCAGTTTTACCAAAGATCTACCAGTATATCTCAATCTACTTTCTGTTCACAACTATCATGTTCCACAAAAACACTAATATCGCTATAAGAGAAAAATGGGTCTAATGTACCACCACTCATTCTTTGCACATTTAAATATTAAACAGCAAGAATAAATGATTCCATGTGTGTACTTTTAAGCAAAAATAACTACCCTCTCCCATCTCTTTATGGCCTTGTTGCAATATTTCTGAATGTGATATTTGCATTTGTTTTTCACCTGTTATCCTTGTATTAGGAAAGGTTTGTTTGGAAACCTGATGGAAGACTGCATGCCATATATATGAGAGGAAAAGCAATGTTTTTGCCATTAGAAGAAAATTGTGACCTTTATAATCTGATATATATTCTTTCACACACAAAAACACACACACCAAACTTGGCAAACTCAAACAAGCTTAATTTAGCAAACTGTGTAAAGAAAGTGATTTGAAAGTGGATGCCTTTAAAAATAATGGATGTTGGAGCTCATCTGCACAGAACTTTCTGGAATGAGCAGGCCAGCAGTGCCATTTGATAGATTTTCAGAAAGGTCTGAATAATTTGGCTGTATGCAGACAATCCTAGAAATTTTTATGATACAATGTCTATCAGAAGTCATGCTTTAGGCCAAAAAGTGCTATGTACATACAAGAAAGGAATGGTTTGAAATGGTTATCCTATTGATTGTGTTACATAATAGGATTATGCCAAGACAAGAGCTTCTAGGATGGGTAGTGAGAAATGATTAATCTTACACTAGTACAGGGGTGTCAAACTTGATTTCATTGAGGGCCACATCAGGGTTTGACCGTGGGGGGCTGGGGTGGCCGTGGCCAGGGTGGGTGTGGCCAGCTCATCGTCACTCATGTCAGGGATGCCTGTGGTGACCCAAGTGCTCTGCCAGAGAATGGACAAAAATGGGCTCCTGAGCTCCGTTCTCGACTGCATTGGCCTCTTGCAACCCTTGCCAATGAAAATGGAGCTATTGAGGGCCACGCACGAGCTCCATTTTCACTAGCAAGGCACTGCGGGCTGGTCCTTTGCTCTTTCCAGGGCAGTCCTGTGGGCCAGATCTAAGCACCCCAGAGGCCAGATCCAGCCCATGGGCCTTGAGTTTGACACCCCTGCACTAGTACCATAAACTCAGATTGGGCTCTGGTGCTAGTAGGACCTGTAAAGGCCTGTGATGAGAAGAAATATGGTGAAAATGAAGGAAATCCAGAACGAGTACTGCAAATTACTAGATCAAGGTTAGGGGCAGGAGGGAATGAAGACACAGACTGTTGCAGTTGGAAGAGAACACCAGGAACTAACCTAATGACTGTGCAATATCCAGGGACAGGAACCGCTAAAAGTTCAGTAAGTGAAGGTAGACATGCTGTTGCAGTTGCTGCTATAGATGGCAGAAGAGAAAGCATATCACCTAGCATAATCCTGACATTCCTGACCACCAACATTGGAACTAGCTCAGAGCCCTGAATGAGGAAAGGAGGAAAATTTTAACGAAGAAACTATGTAACTCATTGCTCTTCCTTGCTCCTTTATCTGCCCCTCCAGAGGCTGAATTTGAGGTTTTAATTTTAACTATCCACTTCCCTGATATATTTAATAATACTAGTCAGTTGGAAGATTAATTGTAGTATTCATATGCATGGGGACTCTATACAAGGGATGGTGCTAATTCTTGAAATCCTGTCCATTTATACAAAGACTCTAGTAAACTTTTAACTGGATAGTATGTCCAGTTAGATAGTAAGTTTAATGTCTGGAGGATGTATGGAAACAATATGAGACCATGCACTTAAACAGGTTACCATAACTTTCTTATGCTGCTATGCAAATACTTTGGAGAAGGAAAGTATTCTTGTTGATTTCCTCATAGAGTGAATCATTCTGGATATATTTAGGCACTATCCAATATCTGCTTTTTATGTGCTAATTGGAAAAATGACTGTGATGAAAGTGATTAGATAAAAGCACAACATGAAGAGTTTGCTTTAGGCAGAGCTTTGAATATACTTCTTGCTATTGAATCCTACTGCAGAGGATTTCGCAGAGGCAACATTTTATAATAGTTCCTTAGATCTATACAGTGTTATTCCACAAACTTCAAGTGGATTTCTGTATAGGAGAATGGAACCAGGGGAACTAATGCCAACTATGTGTCTGCACTGTCATTGATAATCAAATGCCTATATTTCAATGCATTGAGTTTAACGAAATCCCTCAGGGTTGTCCATCCAGCGGTGGCCCTTCAATCTATTCTAGAAGTGCATTCTATCTTCCAAGACAGATTTTAGGGATGCATCAAAGAGAAAACTAAGATGCAGAACTCAGGAATCCACATGACCGCTGTATAACAGCAAAGAGATTCAGAAATCTTCAACATGTTGCTGTCATATTTTGGCAGTTGGAGGCTTCAAGCCAGTGTTGACTCCTGGCAACTCTCTGGACAACTCCCAGCAGTTTTCTTGGGAAGATTTTCAGAAATAGTCTGCCATTGCCTTCTTTCTAGGACTGGGAGAGCATGACTAGCCCAAAGTCACCCAGGGCTAGAATGTGTGGCTTTCCCTGTAGCCTGGTGCCTTAAGTATTATGTTAAACTGGTTCTTATACTGTCACTTAATCATCTAACTTCTTGCAGCTGAGATCTAAACCAGTCCCTATGAAAGATAAATTTGTTTCAAGAGATGAAATCCATTTGTGCAAAGCTGGATGTACAATCTTAATGTTTTCCAGGAAATAAGTTAAAAAATATTATGGACTTTGAGAAAATAATTACAGCAAACTTGGGAGATATTCTTCTAAGTAAGTATGCATATACTGTAATACAGAGAAAATGTCAAACTGCTATGATAAAAAGAAAGGAAAAAAAAAACCACCCCTCAATCTAATTACTTTCTTCAATCTGGAGAATGTATCATATTCCATACGTTTTAAAATTAGTCACAAAGTCTAGAAATTTTGAAATTTGAGGTGCTATAATATCTGCGGGACCCCTGGTAAAGAAGAATGCCTTAAAGAATGCCTGAGGTGCAGTATACTTTTATATATGTCATAATGCAAGTGATTCAGTAAATTAGATAGGGTGAATTCAATGGCTAAAGTTATCCTGAAATAATATAACAATGTATGATCTTATAGATTCCCATGAAGCAGGTCTCACTCCTTAAAACTGCAGTATTATAAACACCTTACTGTCACTTTCCCACCATTCTCCCATGTAGTATTTCAAACAGTTTGTTTAAGGCACAGTGGAGAATAGTGATGCATTGAGTCATTCCTGAAAGGGCATGGATTCCTCTCCCGTGGGATGCATGCTACCAGTTTGAAGACTGAATATGTCTTTGATTAGTTAGATTAAAAGATAGTTTAGCATCACCCATTCCAAGCCATAAAAATCTTGGGTCTTATAAATCTTACAGAAAAAGTCTAATAAAGTTTGAAATGAGCAAATTCATAATTTTATAGTTGCTCTATTAAGTTCACAGCCTCTAGGAATTTAGAGGAGGATATATAATTATTAAAAATGAAGAAAAACAGCACCTAACAGTAAAAGAATAGGCTAAGCAACAAGAATCTAACTTCATGTTGGAATAAAGCTCTGCTAACAGTATTCAGAAACTCTGTGACCACATTGTAGCTACTTTCTAAAGTAAGATGAATGAATGGGGTTTAGCATGTCTCATGTATATATCCCTACTCGAAGTTATGTTATGCTTGGAGCAATTGCAATTTGAACATCAATTTCGAAAACTTATTTTTTAAATGAAAATTTAGAAACCAGTAGTTGAGATTGTAATTTACCTTTCAGTAGAAAGATGACACTAGAATAAGAATCCATGGCATCTCTTATTGATAAAATGAAGCTTAAAACTAAGTGGGATATAAAAGCCTTGCTAATATCTAGAACAGAAGTTTTTGTCTTTATTAGCAATGGGTTTAATTTGTGAATAAAGAAATTCATTGGATTGGGTATAAAATTTTATTTGCATTGTATCAAAAGAGCTTCTAGATTCCATATTACTATTCAGTTTCATGTTTGTAAGAAATGTTTCAGAACAAAATAAAAAAAATGGCTCAGTAAGAATATTCATTGTTACATTTGTGAAGTTTGTGCTGGTCTGTATAATTCCATTAAAGAATGAGAAACATTTATTTAAACCAGGAGCAAAGAATTAATGCTATAACGTATATAAAGACATGTCAGTGTTGTATTGTAAGTATATTTGTTTATTAAAGATACTATTTTCATGATATTTATGCAGAGATTATTCATTTGACAGAGTACTTTAATTTATTGATTAGCCCATAGGCCATATCAAAATATTGAGTTTCAAACACAAATTATTAATAAAATCCTATAAAAACAATTTTAAATGAAATTGGAGTAAAAAGAAATGATTTGATATACAGGTAAGTATAATAAGATAAAATTTTATTTCTCTTGTGAGTACTACTAGAGAGAACTTCCCTTTCTTGCCGCTTTCTGTTGCTTCTACACACACACACACACAGAGACACACACACTCCTTCCCTTTTCTCTCTCCCATGTTCTTTAGAAGTGTCTATCTCTAGGGGTTCACCTTATCTTGGGTTTGTCAGCCTTTTATAAAGCTTTCTCCTTCCTAGGACATCCCACTTACGATGGCTAGAAAGATCTCAGGATCCTTCCCTTCCTGCTTCTGCTCCATCCTCCATTTTGTGTTAGACTGGGCTCTTAGAGTACCCCTCCCTCCCAGCTTCCTCCTTGAATTTTTATCTGAGTCCAACTTTCAATAAGTGGACAATTATTCCAATCTAGGTTACATAGTAAGTTACAAATTACTCCTACCACTATTACCACTATTACTGAGGAATCCAGTGACTCCTTAAGGAGGAATAGATTACTGCCTACAGATGGGAGCATTCCCTCTTGTAAAGGATTCATTTCCCCTGTGCCCTGTACTCTGGCTTTAATCAATTTGCCCAAAGTGGTAAGGGGCTCTTTTCCCCCAAAAGGCTGCCTTTTTAATGAAATAAGGACATACCCACATCCATCTATCCCAGTAACTACTAG